GCCAAGACAAGTTACTTTGTACAGATCAAAGCTCAGTTTTATGTTATAAGTAACATGAGTGCACATGAGCCGTGTCATTGTAACTTATTGTACTGTTAGCCAGGCACAAGTGAAAGGTCAATATAATAAAAATAATAAATATATATATATATATAAATGTATAATCTTATGAGATTTAAGCTATTTTGTCTAAACATTTATGTTTTCATGTTATAATTTGTGTTCATTCTAGAATAAAAGAGGCATAATTTATGTTTATTTTTTCTATTTATCTATTCTATTTATTTTTTTCTATTCTAATTTTTTTTATGGCGGTTGCGAGATGGTTCAAATCTACCAAACCCATACAGAGATTAATTACTAAAAATAACAGATAAAATATAAAGTTTTTCCTTAAGAAATGTTTGATAACTATCCGGACACTATAAAGATTTCGCATGTGAAATTCCCAAATTTTCTGAGGCATAAAAGTATTTTTAATCTTAAAATGAAAATTACTTTGCATGTTGGATAAGCAGTATGCGAAAAGAAAAAAAAGGCATGAGAAAAACATTGCTTTACAAACCTTTAGGACTTATTTAAAAAATTTGATATTTAGCATAAAAAAGTATTGTAATTTTTACTGATAATCTGCCAAATTTCATTAATATATGCTTGCTAATTTAAAGGTTATAGCATGAAAACTATAACAAGCACAAAATGGTTATGAGGTCGGTCCCAGGGACTGAGCCCATGTTGAAAAGTTAATAAATTGAAAAAAAATCTTAAAGCCAGCCCATATTATTCATATACTTATCAAGTTTTCTCTTAAACTCATTAAAATTTAATGCTTCCACAACATTCCAAATGCCAACCACCCAGTTAGAAAAATAAACTATCTTAGCTGAAGATGACTCCTACCCTGACAAAGGTTATATTTGGGTACTCTAGTCCTACCATTCTCATCATTAAATATGAAAAAAAGATGATGCATCAACACTATCAATTCCTTTTACAATCTTAAACACCTCAATTAGGTCACCCTTAACTTTTTTTTTAAGAGAAAACAATTTGAAAGATTTCAACTTCTTGTATGACAGCCCCTCCATCCCAGGCACCATTCTCTACACCCTTTCCAACAATTCAATGTTTTTCCTGAAGTAAGGAGCCCATGGCTAAACACAACATTCCAAATGTGGCCTAACCAGTGACCAATACAATAAAATTATAACCACTTTAGACTTGTATTCAATATTTCTGTAAATCAACTATTACACCAAGATTCCTTTCTTTCATCACACTGTTTAAGGTTATTCCCATCCAAATTATACTTATAATTCAAATTATAAACCACATGCATTCTTTATAATTAAAACCCATTTGCCATTTATTTGCCCAACTCACTAAATCATCTAAATCCTTTTGTAAATCAGTAGCACCCTCTTCACAGCTAGCAACACCCAAGACCTTAGTATCATCTGCAAATTTAAGTAATTTAATGACCATTACTTCATCTATATCATTGATGTAAATCAAAAAGATCAAAGGTCCTAAAACTGAGCACTGAAGTACTCCATTTGTGACATTAATCCAATTTGACTGAACTTCATTTGTAGCAACTCTCCATTTTCTTCCATCCAGCCGCTCTTCTATCCAATTTGCTAACTTATCCCCCCCCCCACAACTATAGCAATAACTTGTTTTTACAAGCCTTTTTTGTGGCACCTTGTCAAATTCTTTCTGAAAATCCAGATACAACAAACCTAATATTAACCCAATCTACATAAGCAGTAACTTTTTCAAAGAATGTCAAAAGATTTGTAAGGCAAGATTTTCCCTTAGTGAAATCATGTTGACTATCTAATAAAATTATAAACTTTGTTAAATGACTCTGCAAATCATGTTTTATCAGATTTTTCAAAATTTGTCCCACAACTGATATAAGACTAATGGGTCTAAAATTACTGGGACAATTTTTATCACCTCCCTTGATAAGATGAATTACATTAGCTGACTTCAAATCCTCTGGTGCCTGCACATTATTCAAGGACTGACAAAAAATAGCAGCAAGTGGCACATATATCAAATTTTTCACCTCCTTCTAAACCATTGGGAAAATATTATCTGGCCCAGGAGCCTTATCATTGTTTTAAACTTCTCAATTTTTTCTTAACCAGCTCAGAATTAATGCAGTCATCTTGTTTCCATCTATTAACTGTTCAAGATGTGGAATACTGCATAAATCTTCATTAGTAAAAAGCAAAATTAAATAACCCAGTCATCTAATAATTATCAGATATGAGCCTTCCTTTATAATCCCTCAAGGGTCCTACCCTTATCCTAACAATTTGTTTACCTTAATGTATTTAAAGAAATCCTTAGTGTTAATTTTTACATTTTCAGCCAATCTTTTCTCATACATCCTTTTTGATGTTTTAATTTCTTGTTTCCCAGCTTTCTTCATCTTCTAAATCTCATGTCATACCAGTCAATTTAAATTTCTGAAATTTATCATGCTTTTCTTTAATTTTATCTCTTATACTCTTTGTGAGTCAACCTGGTTTTTTACTTGCAGCTACTCTTTTCTTTCTATAAGGAATATGTTTGCTGGTTACTAAAATTCCTTTAAACGCTAATAGCAGTGCTCTTAGTCTTACTTAAAGTTAAAGTGTGTAAAACTGTAAATATCTGAACTAATCCTGAATAAAAAAATTAGAAACAATGTAACTTTTTTGGATCCCATGTTCAAATTTCAATTTGCAGCTAAGTCTTGATAATTGGAAAAATAAACAAACGTAAAACTGAAACATATGATAATATAATTTAACACTGTAAGTTTAACACTAGTAACAGTAACACTAACAGTATAAATTATATTATCAATATCATAGCTTGTTATAAATATAATAAAATTAAACGGTGTCAGTAGCACAGGGCCGAAGGTCTCAAACTTTAATTTAAAATAATTTAATCAATAAAACATCTCACTAGGTTCTGGTAGGTCGCCAAATAAATCCATGATGAGAAATATGCAAAATTTAAACTGAACATAAAATGCAAGTTACACCACATCAACAATCCAGGTAGTACTAGTTCTATTACTCGTAGCGCCTAACTCAAAGAAGTAGCCGAGGCTTAACAATTACAGTTGTATTATGCACGACAACGCTTAATAATAAGAAAACCCGAAATGTAAAGTGCAAATATAATAATTTAAATTTTCTTACTAACAAGTCTAAAAACAGAAAGACAGTATCAACGATTTTACACAGTTTTTTCTTTATTTTTATCATGACTTTTAAAATGAAGCATTAAAATTTTTATTTTCCGTGTCACATCTAATTTGCAAAACAATAGATTACTTCAAAATGAGGTTCGATTCGCACTGTTAGAAATGTTGCATTGTACACAAACGATAAGCGTCACTATAAATAATTTACTTTTCATTTTCCACATATACATATAGCCAACAAAGCTCAGAGGAAATGAATGAAAATTACTGCCTAAAATAAATGTTTGAAGTTAACCCCTGTAACAGTACAACCTATCACACAGACCACTGAACTTAGCACCATAATACGGATATTGAAATCACAAAGGAGAAAATGTTATGTACTATTCAAAATATAATTTTTTATTCTTTCAAAACTACGACAAAAACATGAATTTATTATAAGAAGGAAACAAACCGAAGCCCCAATGTCGTTTACCACTAGAGGGTGTACAATCTAGAAGTTCCAGTATGTACTGTTAAATACATGTTCTGAAACATTATTTGTACTTTCAAAACTCCCTCAGATTAACATAGGTCACAGAAAAACATCAGGAATGTAATATAAAAATCATAAAAACTTGGGATATCCAGGATAGTTTTGTATAGCTTTGAATACATAGACTTAATATACTCTACGCTGAGACAGACAGGCGGACACGTATATCCCTATATTAGTGGCGCTGGTTCTAAAGCTCCGCCTTCTTTTTGGCAGCAGATGTGAGGCAGCAGGAGCTTTCTTAATGAGTAAACTTCAACCAAAACTTAATAGTTAATTAATAAGTTCTTGCATCTTAACAACCATTCTTTATTTTATAATTAAAAGTAGATTTTATGATTTCTTTGTTGATAATATTTTGTCACTTATGAAAACGCCCCAGAAACAACGTTTACCACTAACATAAACAAATAGGTGAGCTCAAATCCTTACGTGTTGCTTTTACGATGCAGAACACCGAAGAGCAATAAAAAAAAAATCCAATGCCGAGAATAATATGCAACATTTGCCTACGTCTATTCATCAGTGGTGGTGTTTCAAATTGGCCCGGCATGGCCAAGTGGTTAGGGCACTCGAATCCCCGTTACACCAAACATGCTTACCCTTTCAGCCGCGAGGGCGTTATAATGTGACGGTCAATCCCGTCAAGAGTTGGCGGTGGGTGGTGATGACTAGCTGCCTTCCCTATAGTCTTTCATTGTTAAATTAGGGATGGCTAGCGCAGATAGACCTCGTGTAGCTTTGCGCGAAATTAAAAAAAAACAAAAAAACAAAGAAAAACGTTTCAACTTTTCCATGGGGGACAGAAGGGTTAAACACCCTCAAAATATTACTAAAGGCACCATCCTCTCTATATGTTTTTTTTTTTCTCAATTCTGGTTGAACCCGAATACGCATAAAACTGCGTATGATTAAACACATACCCATTTTTCTGCGAGTTAAATGCACCATTAAGAAGCTGGAATAGATTATGGTAAATTTATATGCCTGTTAAGAAAATGTGGATTCTTATTTTGATTTACAATTATTAGAGCAATAGATTGTTTATTTGTAATTAAGCACAAAGCTACACAATGGGCTATCTGTGCTCTGCCCACCACGGGTATCGAAACCCGGGTTCTAGCGTTGTAAGTCCGCAGACATACCGCTGTGACACCTAGGGGTCAGAGCAATAGAGCTTCAGTGTTTTGTTTGTATTTCCATTTAGTTGTTCTCGATATCGGTCAGTCCTTTCTCTTTGTAAAATGGCATGGAGTGAAAAAGTTAAGTGCCAATTTTTTTATGTTCAGTAACGCAGTTAATATATGCAACCACGCTACAAAACAATAAATATTGGATTGGAGCAGAGAAATGAAAGATAGGAAACAACAGTAGGAGATAAAGAAAGGCACAGGGACGTTGGAAAGACTTTGAGAAAGGAAATAACAGCAGGAGATTGAGAGGAAAAAAATAGATACATGCGACAGACTGTATTAAAAGGAAATAAAAATTTGACATTGGTTCAGCGTAGCAACGCAATAGGTATAGAGACAGGTGGCATTATCTGCAATAATAGGTAGAAAACGCAAAGTACCTAATAAATCAGTAAAAAAATATATCCCGATTTCAAAATTTTTTGTGGACACAGTGGTAGTAAGCCTAGTGACGCAGATGGTGTATTCAAATACTGTTG